TCTGGTCGACTGAGCTCCTGCAATTGTAATGCAAACAGGAACCATATTGTAAGCGATGTACACCGAGAGAAGTTTACTTTAAGATCATAGTAATAAAATTAAAAAAAAGACTTTTCACATATTGAATTATAAAATTCTTATATCACTCAATCAATTTATTCTTCTTTTAAGTTCTTCTGTTGAAAAATGTTAATTAAATTGAAGGATTAAGAATTGTTTTATTTAAAATCAGTATATTAAATTAAACAATTCTTGAACCCCCTTTGTAGTCAAGTGTTTAACAAATAATGACAATTTATATACACATTTCATATTGTTTAATATTTCAGGATCAAAATAAGCTGAACCATGAAATTAAGAAGTGATTGATAAAATATTAATGAATGATTTAAGCAACAAATCTATATTTCAATTCAATGAATTTATTATTTTTAGCAGTATAAACACTTTTTTTAAATTTGCATCTCTATTTTATTTAAAAAAAATTTAAGTGCATTATCAGATAAAAGCTGAAAGAGATGGCTATAGCTTTAGATAGAGATAGACAACTGCCAGACAGTCGCCGTCAACGCTTTCTGCTTCAATTGACACCCTCGTGTGTTGCAGTTGCAATGTTAGTTGCAGTTGCAGTTGCATTTGGCAGTCATTACATAAAGAGACATACAACGAGCATTGACAGGGCTCAGGGGTCTGCAGACCAGGCCAGAGATTTCCCTTTACCGTTGCAACTGTATTGCGCAACAGTCTGATTTCTGGCCCATGATAATGGTGGTTACCATTTTCCCTTAAGTGGTATAAGGTGTAAGGGGTATAGGCTATTGCCATTATCTACAGCAACTATCATAAATAATATATGAAACTAAATATACCTGGGGTTTTGCGGTTGATATGTGTACTTTTTCTATGAGATAACTTTCCAAGAACCCATCAGAGGGAATAGCAGAGAGGAGCAATCATGAAATTTAAGTTAGAATTGTTTGATATGAATATACATATATATTTTATATATTGGTATACAAAATTCTTTAATATAAATAAATATAAATTCTTTAAACTGCAATCAGCATCATATACTCCCCACGTAAACCTTCAATTAGAATGCCTGATAACTTGTATAAATACTACAAGTATATATTCTCACAATACACAGTAATAAATAATAATACTCTCCCCGATTATCGTCAGTACTTAATGCTTGTCCCCGTTCCAATTTCCTTCTCGATCGAATGTCACGAGCCCTGTGAAACACGAATCGGAACGAATCGAAGGCACGATTTAATGGATGAAAGCCCGCAGAGAACAGAACAATGCAAGCTTGTGGACAAATAAAACGCGACAAATGCGTTTAATCAATCGGATCAGCCTTCAATCTTGACCCACTCGGTGTGATGGAATGCTGCCCTTATATCGAGGAGGGTCTCCACCACAAATTCCTCACTATTCACGGCATTGATTGCTCACACTTACAGTGCCCAGAGGGGGGAACCCAAACAATCGATGACAATCTTCAATCGAATTTAACACTTTTCAATGTTTTATTTCTGTGGGCTGCGGCCTCTCTTCCTCTTGCCAGCAATTTGTTAATTTCTTTATTGCTTTTTATTGTCATTGTTTTGTTTGGTTTTTGGATGTTTTTCTTTTTTCGTGTTACTCACTTGGCCTTTCTTTGCCTTTCGATTCTTATTGCTACAATTTTGTTGATGGTTTCTCATGACGCTGATGAACCAACTTGTGTCAAGTGAAAGTCATCAAGTGGGAATCGGAATTGGTATCGGGATTGGATTGGATGGTGCGTCTCTCTGGATTGGGGCTTCTTCTTTTGCTAATAAACTCTGTGACACCAGTTGATGTCCACGATGAGGATGATGATGATGATGATGCCCCCATGTAAAACTTTCGCCATGATTTATTGGCCAGCTTGTTAGTGTTAGCCAGGCAGCTTTTGGGCTGCGACTGCGACATTAATCTTCCTGCTTTGGGTTGCTTAAATAAATAAATATTATTTAAATGCGAGTCATTAACCTGAGGGGAGAAAACACATGTGTGTGCCTGGGCTCCACCTCCAGCCAATTCGAGAGACCCTTGCCATTTTCATGCCAGCACTCCTTATATGCGCAGACTGCCTCCGATCTTGGAATCGTTTCTGCGATCTCTCGACGCGATCCGGTCAAGGTCAACAATGCGATCCGATTGGCGAACACAACCTCGAGAGTCGTCTATCAATGTCAGGCCCCGAATGACGATGATCATGATGAGCTGAGAGTCAGCGTGATCATGTTCGGCATCCATAGAAATTCACTGAAAAAAAACAGCATATAAACATAAGTGCTTCCCACATTCTTTCACAATCAATCGATGATCGATCGATCGATCCAGAAGAAGACCTCTTTCTCTCTCTCTCTCGCCGCCCCAGACATTCCTTTCTCACCTCGTAATCCCGGCAACAGCATAGACTTATCATAATCAATGCATTTGACTCTGGGGCCTATCATTAAACATTTATATAAATCAACGGCGCTAATGGCAACTTTCCTGCCCAGACAACCGTCGGCCAATTTGCCATTCCATTTAATCAGGCAACATGGAAAAACTGGCACGCACACATTATTCGTCTCTTTATATATAGATGTGTCCATATAGATGTATATTTATATAGGTGGAGCAGATCAATTGGAAAAACAATTTCCCGCCGGCGGGGGGCGGGAATATTGCGCAAGCGCACCACCGCACAGTTACTGTGCAAAGTAAATTAATTTGATTTGATTTCAGTCGAACCGACTTGAGTTTGAGTCTGAGTCTGAGTTGGGTTGATGGAAAGGCGCTGGGGGCAAAAGCTGTCTGTGCCAGGTGCACTTGTAGAAATTGCATGCTAAATATGTCCCAAGAAACGAGGTTTTTAACTGGGTTAAAGCGAGAAAATGTTGAATTCACGATATTCATGGTATCTTTTTACAGAAAATCTGGGTTTAAAGACAAGAAAAACAGGAAAATATCTTTAGATGTCATGTAATCTTGACTAATATGGAAAATATTTTACTTTAAAGGATTTTTAAAACAATTTTTCTAGCCTTTTTATGTGACACTTTAAAGAAATATTAGCTTTTGTTTTCATACTTGTTGATTCTAACTTTCATGAAATTTCTCTTAATATCAAAGTGACTTTTATTATTAACTATTAACTTGCTTTATTTGATTTAAATGTTTCCAATGAACCTTACGTATTACATTTTTAAATACTAGACACACGGAACTGTTGTGTAAATTTTAAGAGCATTAAGACCATTAAAAATTGCAATAAAAAAATGTTTAACTTTTACAAAAGCTCGACTAACTCTGCGTTAACACTTTAGAGGGGCATTCACTTACCATTTATGTTATGAAAATAATTTTCCGAGTGCCTTCGATTGCATAAAAGCAACAGACACTTCCCAGGGGCACCAACTGACAGCCAAGACATATTTATAGGCCCAGTTTTGGGGGCCCATAGAGTCGTCCTGGTGGCTCATACATCCACCCACCATGTTGAAGGCAACGCCCTCGGCGCGGTTGCAACTCAATTACCGCAGCTACTCGCTTGACATCTGCTGCTGCTGCTGCTGCTGCCGCCACTTCAGCGACATTTGCCATGTTGCCCGACACTTTTCCACGCGAAAAACGCTTTTCATCGGCTGCCAAGATGCCGCACCTAGGAGCGGGTGAAAGTTTTTTCCCATTTTTTTGAGGTGACGCAAGCAAAGGCCTAAAAGCAAAAAGTCAAATCAAACATATTCTACAAACGCACTCGTTAATGATGTGCTCGAAAACGTATGTAATTGACAATTGTTTTTAATTAATGGCGGGCACGTTTTAATTGAACGACGAGGGAAAATCGAAGCCACAAAATGTTGCCAAATTTCACTGATCAGCAGCAACCTTGTTAAGCGTTCGAAATTAATATAATCGGTGGAAGAAAACATTAAACATTACAACATTCACACTGAAGACGACACCAAATATATACAGACAACGTAAATTTTCGACAATTTACCGCTCATTTTGGGCACGAAAATTGTTTGGGCCATGATCGGAACTGGGTTTCATTATGTAATTGATGGTAATTTCCTGACGAGAGTCTCCTCCTCTCCTCCGCTGAACTTCAAATGCAAATTGGCCGTGCGTCTGGGGTCTCGTCTCGTTTTGTCTCTTTGCCATTTAAGCTGTTTTATTTTGTGTCTGACTTTTAGGGGTTTTTTCAACTTTACTTAAAATTCAAATCTGCCTGCCACCGATGATTGCGTTTGGGGGCGTGATTGGCAGCTAACTCGGCCAAAACGGCTGTCTCTTTTGATGTCTTTTCTCGTTGTAGTTGTTGGCCGGCGTGCGAAAATAAAATCAAAAGTGGAGCGCAGTTTGTTTTGATTGTTTGTTGGCTCTATATTGAGCGAGCTATTGACAAACAGCATTGAAAAGTGTTGCAAATTGCTCACAAAGACAGGCCCGAAGAAAGAAGGAAAATAAACCAGATAGAGAGAGGGAGACAGACATTATGTCATAACTTCAAGTCGAGGAGGAAGTGGCTGCCCATATTTACCCATAATAATATATATGTTGGCAAATACCCATACAATAAATTAAAACCAAATCACACGATATTGTCAGCTAGTAGCGGCCAATTTTGGTCCAGCTCTTTATGGCTAATGAGTTAATGGATCAGTTGTTTCGTTTCATTTAAATCGATCCATTATGGTCTCTTCCAAGATACGTATGTACATATATGTTCGACGAGAGAGATCTATATCCACGGAGCTTAAAAGCGAATTCCATTTTGCTCGCTACGCAGTTTCATTTCTACGTAACATATATATCGGTCTAATTAAAAAATTAGATTAATTTCGCATTATTTTTTTGCGTCGCTCTCGATCCACGCATTGGTATTGGCTCAATGTCAAGAGGCTTTGAGTGTATTTTTGTATCGTGGCTCTTTCTAATCTATTCCATGTGTCTATTTTATACAATTTCAGGATCAGAACGATAATATAGCGATACACACAAACAGAGGCATCGATGCTTTGGACAAGTATGCCAACTTCTTACGCGATCGTGTGGCCATAGAAACGGAATATGCCGGCAAATTAAGGTGAGTCTTGATTGATTAATAAATTAAATATATAAAAAATTAAATAAGTATGATATTAAGTTAAAATATGAATATAAAAAGCTATTAAAGTTGTTTAAAATAATTACAACAGATCAATTAATCAAAAAGCCTAAAGAAATTAGTTTAATCAAGTTAAAAATACTTAAGTTATATTCTTTAACCTTTAACCTTTCGAAAAACAAATAAACATAAATGATAAAAATACATTTCCTCATAAAATAATTTCCCAAAAATTAAAATTTACATTTAAAAGTGATTTTAATATTAAAAATTAATAAAGTGTCAATATCAATATCCAAGGATTACCTTCAACCATTTAAAAACTGCTTTTAAGGCACTGCAAAGTGCTTTGCCGTTTGGCGCCTCCGTATTTGGCCTTAACAAATCGCCAATTAAATATAAATATTTTGTATTGAGCATTTATTTAGCCAGTTGCAACAGGCCTCACCCATTTGTGGCATGTTTTGTGGCTTTTGCAGCTGCCAAAATAATGTTCTCACTGCTAATGTAAATGTTAAGACAAAAAGCAGCTCCCAAGTAATAAGCACAAGGTCGTCCACTTGTGGAAGTGATTGCCCGATTGCCCGGCTGACCAGGTTCCGTTCCTGGCCAAGTATTAAATATAAAAAAACAATCCATTCGTGTAGGCTTCGTGTATTATTTAATTCAAGTCTTTGTCTTGAGCGACCTTCGCCTGGCGACGACAGAACGACAATGCGCCATAAACAATAATAATCGTAAATAGCTAATTGTGTGTGCATTATACTCTTGTGGCGCATTTCAATTACGCCTGATATTTTTTTTACTTTTATGGACCCCAGGAATTTTCGGTTTAAAGGGGAGCCAGCCACACCTCGGCGGAGAGACAGACACGAGCAACGCCAACCCTTGGCTATCCCATAAATTGCACTAAATTGAGTGACACCCGAGTGCTGACCACGACCTGCCCCACGCAATTGACACGCGACTGCCTCCGTGCCCGAATCCGATTCCCAGCTACAGTTTTACCCCTTCCCAAGGCGAACTGGACATGTGGGGAGCTAATGGGATTAGGCTTGAGTTACCCAGTCGATTGCCCAACGTCGCGCCAATGGCTGCGTGGGTCGTCTCGTTCCGTCCCGTCCATCATAGTTCCAGTCATAATTGTTTAATTTAAGCAAAGATTATGTTGCCGCCAAGGTGGTGTTTGGTCCGTCCGGTTGGCAGATCGTGGGGGAATCAGTTTCCCACTGCCTGCCACCAGTGTTCCCACAATGAGTCGCTGCTTGGCTTGATGACTTTGCTCCGTAGTGGTTTCTACTGCTTCTTCTGCTCGTGGTGGGACTGAACTGTGGCCCCTGATATGGCTGGGAGCTGCTACCGTCTTGACTCGTTTTAATGACTTTATCATTACGCGTCTAACGTTGTCTGGCGCGGTCTTAGTTGCAGTTGTACACTGGAAAGAGAAACTTAGACTTTTAACTAAACATATGTGGTAGGTTGAGGTGTTAATTTCTACATGGCGACCGTGGCAGGACCTAAACTTGTTATTCTTGATATCTTATAATATTTTGATAATTAATAAAAGAGTTCTGTTAGGAAATTAAGACCCTAGGGATTAATGGTTTTAATTTATACTTTCTAATTATGTAGAAAATTAGAGAAAATCTTAAGTTTTGATATTCAAAAACGAATAATTTTCCTAAAAAAGAAAATAATAATAACACCTCTTAGTCTCCCAGAATTTCCATTATATTATTAATGGTAATGAATATCAAATAATGTAAACAACTCTCAAGATCGTTCTCCGAGTGTATCTTAACTTTCCGGAGGCTGCTGGATGAGATCGTTGGTAGTAAGGGGTTCGACTCCGAGATACATAGATACCGAGTAAGAGTAGCAACTAGACCACAAAGCAGCCGCATGAAACTGTAAGGAAAAACTGTATTTAATATGCGCGGAGCAGTGAAATCTTTTGCGTGCTCCGCCTTGGCAATCGCAATCGCGAAATGAAAAGTCTCGTGTTAATGCAAATATGTTGCTTCTGCTGCCGCAGACTATTATTATTATATTATTATTATTTCTTAGTATACTTGGCTATGTAAAAACAAAGTTTCACTAATGCCATGATATGGATTTTACCTTTCGTTTCTTTCTCTTGCAGGCGCCTGGTGAAAAACTATCAGCCCAAAAAGAAGGAGGAGGAAGACAATGAGTAAGCATTAACCGAATAGAAAAAAAATATATATAGACTTTAGTTTTATACCTTACCTTCTTCGTGCTGTTAAATGTTTTGAAAAATTATCCATAATTTGCTGCACTTTGTTTGCCATATTTGTTTGGCAAAGTGCTAAGTGCTTGTTATTCGGGCTGGGCTGTGGGATGGGATATAATCTCATTTGGGTTGACTCGAGCTCTAATTGTGCGTGCTCTGTGCCATTCAATTTGCCCGGGAAAAATCCACTTGGGGCTTGGCCTCAAGTAGTTCACTCCGCGGACGTGTGTGTGTGAGGTCTCGAAGTCTCAGTTTTTAATTACACGCCATGCAAATCTGGCACTTGGACTGACTCTGACATCATGACCCGCAAATAGATCTCCGGATTGTGGATTGTGAATTGGGATGTGACTGCGAATGTGACTGAGACTGCGACTGTGGCATGTGTGTAACATGACAATGAAGAGGCAGTGCCAAGTGGAAGACTTGGTAATGAAATGCCAAGCGCTTTTGCCATATTCAGCTGTAAAATCCATAAAATCATGCCCGTTCCTCGGCCATATTGAGGGGCTATTGTGACGACGGCGATGATGGACAAAGTCCGGAGCTGCGTGGGCGTTCCACAGCGCGTGTCTAGCCCTGTCAATCCAGAGAGCTCCATAAATCGGGCCCTCGACTGTGGACTATGGAGTGACTTACAAACTTGGATGTATTTTTTGCACAGGAAGAAAGAAGTTAATAAAAATAATCAAGGTGTTAACTGGCTGTCACAAAGCTGCCCACACCTTTTTGAATTGATATATCACTACACCAAATATATGGAAACCCTGATAATATGGCAGATTAAATTAATAATTAATATTAATTGGACTTTTCTCTCTGTGCACAAAATAAGCAGCCTTCCTCGGGCGCCAATTGACGCGTAGGTCGAACTGATTCACATGCTCCTATTACTTACTTTGCAGATACACATCGATGCAGGCCTTTCGCAATCTGCTCAAGGAGGTGGGCGACCTGGCGGGACAGCGCGAAGTGGTCTCCGAGTCCCTCCAGCTCCAGGTCATCCAGGCAGTGACGCTCCTCTCCAAGACACTGCGCGAAGATCGCAAGGTGAGTGCGTGGGCTAAGCCCATGATGGACGGCTAACTAATTCCGATCTTATGTATTCTCCCTTACAGAAATGCCTTAGCGATGGTGCAATGCTGCAACAGAACCTCACCACACAGCTCTCCTCGCTGGACCGGGCCAAGCGGAACTACGAGAAGGCCTACCGGGACTCGGAGAAGGCCGTGGACAGCTACAAGCGGGCAGACATGGACCTAAATCTTAGTCGTGCCGAGGTGGAGCGCTACAAGAACGTGATGACGGCGAAGATCCAGCAGTCGGACGACGCCAAGAACGAGTATGCCAACCAGCTGCAGAAGACCAACAACCTGCAGCAGCAGCACTTTAGCATGCTCCTGCCCGCCGTTCTTAATCGGCTGCAGGAACTGGACGAGAAGAGGACGCGCGGCATTCGAGAGTTCATCATTGGGGCGGCGGAGGTGGAGTCCTCGGTGGCGCCCATCATTGCCCGCTGCATGGAGGGCATTGTCAAGGCCGGCGAGTCCATCAACGAGAAGGAGGATTCCTTCAAAGTCATAGAAAGGTTTGTTTGGATTTTAAATTTATTTTTCCTAAATTTTACTCATGGTAACATGTTTCCCAACAGATACCAATCCGGCTTCACGCCACCACGTGACATACCTTTTGAGGATCTGTCCAAGCTCGATCCGGATGCCGTGCAGGAATCGCACTACAGCAACTCGATATCGAACCACCTGACGATGAAGGGCACGATGGGTGCCAACAAGCTGAAGAAGCGCGTGGGCATCTTCAATATATTCGGCAGCACCAAGGTGAGGGAGGGAGCTCACGTCCGCTTCTGGGGGTTCATCGGTGGGGTGACCTTTTCCACTTTTCCACTCTCTCTCTCTCTCTCAAACTTTAAAGTCCAGAGTTTTCAGTTCTCCTCACGTTTGTCTCCTCCGTTCCATTCTCTGCACCAGCCTCTTGAGTTGAGCCGCTTCTTGATTAGTTGTTAAGTTTCGTGTGTTCGTTCGTATCGATAAGTCGTAGGCCTCGGTTATGGTTTGTGTCTCTTATGGTTTACTCATCCAGTCTTCTCTCTTTTCCGTTCTATTTCTATATCTTTATATTGGTTTGATCGAATCTGTCGATACCCATTATTTATTTAAACTTGGACCATGGTGATGTCTGTGTTGCCGTAAGTACCAAGTGTCCCAGGCCTCGTTTTCGTGATCCCCATCCGTGCTAAATACATACACCACATTCTCTGAGCAAAGACAATATAATGAATAAGATGCGTAACGCATTATATTGTCTTTGCACATACTACATATTACTGCATATTGCCATGTTTTGTGTGTCTCTCATTTACTAATACTCGGCTTTGCTTTTTGAGTTTCCCCTCACGAAACGCCCCAAGCGAAATCCCAAATCCCAAAGCTTCTTCTACAAACTGCAAATTATTAATTGAATTAACTCTTGATTTCTACCTTTGTACACATATTTGTTGCGCTGCCATTCGGTTTTTGAAATGATTGAAATGCTTAAACTCACACGAACACAAACACAATACCACAAACATGTGATACAATTTAAATAAAATGCAATTACTAAAACAATTCGCTGCCAATAGCAACGGCAGATAATTGAAGCCTGCATCACCATGAAGGTATGATGAATCTCTCTCAGCTCTCTCTCTCTCTCCTAACTAACTCTAAATCTAACTCGTAACTAAGCCTAGCCTAAACCATAGCCCCTAAACAACACTATCTCGCTATCTACTAATCACAATGCAGCTAAATACGAATCTAACCATCACTAGCAAGCATTATATCGTTTCCATTAATTTTAATTAATAGCCTCTGGGCCACCACCACTTTCACTTTAAACGCCTGAACGATCGGCATATTCTTGGCCTTAGTTTAAGTCAAGTCAAGTTCCAAAAATAACACAACCTATTAAATATAATTAAATGTTTAAGAAAATAACCAAGTAGCAGCCGCCGCACACTCACACATTATCACTAAATCTTCTACTTTATGATTTCCCTTCAGTTGAGTCTTTTTATTTAAAAAAAACCCCTCTGCATGATTGAATGTCGCCTGCCTTTATCGCCTCTGTTATTTTCCCTTATGTTCCATTTCCATAACTTTTCTTTATGGTATTTTTTAATGGCCTGTTGATGTCGGAAACGGGTTTTTAGTGATTGATGTCGAAAGCGGGTCATTGGATTATCAGAATATTTGCATTTATTGTTTCCCTTTCGTTTCTGTAATGATTTTTGTTTATGAATTGTGAACTATTTTGAATCACTGCGTGAAACCAAATACTATAATAACAAGATGCATAACGGCCTGACGTTTGAATTGAAATATAGGTATAAATTAAAAATTAAAAGTTCCTGAAACAGATCAACATAGTTTCATTAAGAAAATCTTTTATAATGTTTCGAGGAAATTGGTCCTTAAACTGGTTTTCGAAGAAAGTTAAAGACTTACATTCTTAGAGCCAGCTCGTTACTCATCTTGTTATTATAAGGTCTTTGCTGCAACTCTCTCTTTTGTTGTTGTGGATGTCGCCTTGCTGTATAACTCGTGTTGTCCTCTTTTCTTTATATATAGTCCTAATTTGTATCGTATTTATTACTCATTGCATTCGCCTCTCAATATGTATCATTATATTTATTTTATATTCCAAACTAATCCTTGTGTTGATGCACACAGAATTCCCTGACTGCGGACGGGCAAAAGGAGGACTTCAGCGATCTTCCACCGAATCAGCGGAGAAAGAAGCTGCAGGGCAAGATCACCGAGCTGCAGCAGAAGATTGCCCAGGAAACGAATGCCAGGGATGGCCTGATGAAGATGAAGATCGTCTATGAGGCGAACTCTTCGCTGGGCAATCCCATGACCGTCGAGGGGCAACTGAACGAGTCGGAGCACAAGCTGGAGAAGCTGAAGCTGGATCTGAAGAAGTACCAGGGCTACCTGGACAAGGCCAGTCAGGCGCAGGTGGCCACCAGTAGTCCGCAGGCGAATCGAAATCAATTGCAAAACGGTCACCGAACCTCTAGGTGAGCTTGCTTTTGTGATTTAAGTCAATCCGGAGTGTAATGAGGTTCCTTTTCGTTTTTAGACATTCCAATGGCAGCGCCGATGACCATCATGAAGATGGCGACGACCAGCCCGACGATGCTGGCAGCTTAAGCAGGTCAGGTTCTGAGGATAATGTGGCGCAAATACAAAATGGGCATAATAATAACAATAACGGGTACACTCATAAGTCTACGTTCAATGTTTATACTATATATATATATATCCCTCACCCACATATACATTATACTCGTACATACATTATCGTAGTATTATGATTTGGCATATCTAATCTCATCACATTGCACTTTTTCTAACGGTGTATGTGTGGCATTTTCATAGGGTGTTGGTTCTTCCACCTTTTTCGGTTTCTCATTTGCATAAAACAAAAATCTATATAACAAAATAACACAGCCCAGAAAGCAGAACTCATAAGTAATATAAATTACGAGCCCTGCCAGAAAAGTCCACAAAAATGCCCAAAAGAAGCAAAATTCTAAATAACAATTAGCTTTGACTCTTAATTTGTAGCTCTTAAATTGTAAATCTCGTTTTTGGTTTGATCTTTGACCTTTTGATTTGATTGCTTTATACACCAAACATGACAACACTGATGAATAATGTGAAAATTGCAACTTCTTCAAATATTTCGTTTCATTTTGCCTTTTCCCTTGGTGAAATCCAGCAGTTCGGCCAGTCCCGAAAGCGGCTTAGGCACTTCCCACACATCGCTGCCCGGCTCCGGACAAGGCAGTGCCAATGAGAATGCCATCGGCGAGGACACCTACTACGAAACGGAAGTGGAGACACTGAATCCACTGGGCACATGTCGAGCCCTGTATCCTTTTGAAGGTGAGTTTCTAAGAAAAGTTAAATTATAATCTTATTTTAATTTTTAAAATCCTTTTAAACAGCCTCCAGCGAGGGCAGCATACCCATGAACGAGGGCGAGGAGCTGCAGGTGATTGAGATCGATCAGGGGGATGGATGGACGCGGGTGCGGCGGGCGAACAACTCGAATGGCTGGGACGAGGGCTTTGTGCCCACGAGCTATATCGAGTGCACGCTGTACGCTTAGGCTTAAGATTAAGGTTTTAAAAGTTACCTACTCGGCAAATCTAGCGTATGTCTGATTCATTTTGTGTACTTTTGTCATAACTTTGCGTTCTGTAGGACAGCCATACCATTTCACACACACACAAAAACACCCACTGAACACATCAAACCCTTCTTCACACTGTACATTTTTGACCTAAGCCAAGTTCGAGAGACATTTTACCCTTTGTATGCTTTGTGTATTTACTTTGATTTTAGAAAGTCATTGATCCTATGGCAGTGCAAGCTATATCATACTATACCCATAGTCATATGTGCACCTACGAGCAGACCTCACCTAATTGTAAGCACGCAACGTTTCCCTCTTCACCCATAACAATCAGTCATGATCTATCAGCCATGATTTATATACTCATATATAGAACCAGATTTATATGGCACTTGAATACGTGAGAACATGAAAAGAAACCTAGAAGTAAAGCTAAAAGAAAAAGTAGTCTCGTGAACACGTTTTCGTTTCGATAATGTGTTGACGATACTATTTTTGCTCAGTGCAGCACAGGGCACCTGTCGCTTTTCCCCCGCTGACCAAATGGGGAAAAGCGGCCGCGTGCCACTAAATACGCAAAGATCAGAAGGACATCGATCACACTCGAGACTCAAGGATATGTGTAGGCAAAAGTTATGGCAATCTTGCATGACACACATACGCGGAAGAGAACGCGCTAGCTTGTTTTATATATTTCATATGAATAGCAACAATTGTACATTTTTACTTTACACACAAACTCTATGCATAATTCGTACTCTTAATTTAATGATGATAATTTTGTATTGCTCTTTGCCTTGTACATTTTCACACACACACCACACACACACACAGCCAAGTGCAGCAGGTAATTAAGTTCTTAGACTTTAAGTTCACAAAAACATTTAAGGCTTAAGTCAGGCGCAAAGCCGGGGCGTATGCCACTTTGCAATTTACATTTATTTATAACATTAACGAGATATACACTGCTGCTGTATATTTCGTAGACCACAATCAAAAACTGAAAACGCAAGTCTGCGGGAAGCATCCAGGCGGAGCGAGCTAGATCTTTAGTTGGGCAATCCTGCTAGCCTCCCCCACATGTATTTTGTACTTTCATTTCGCATATATATGCTTTAGCCTTTAGCCTTTAGTCCTTAAGTGTGCAGAAGCAACTGATGATACTGATGGATTCTGTTTCTCTTATGTTAAATATAAACGATGTAAACGAATGAATGGTAAACTAACACACTGCGCGAACGCAGCCAATAAATAATTCCAAAATTCTTAAATTTATCTAATTTTAAATTCGAACCGCAATGCAGGCACATACGTATTAACGATTCAAAATGTTTACAACATCAAATGGAGGGCGAACAATTGAGTTTAAGTGACGAAACTACGGCAAGTGTATGTGAGAATTGTCAGCATAATAAAAGTATTTGCAATTAATTTAAAAAGCCTCTGAAAAGTATTTGTATTACAGTTCAGGAAAGGGGGGTTTAATGAAACTTAAAGGAGTTTATATAATTTTACATATTTGAATATCTCGCACTGCAATGTAAGTGTCAATTACGAACTTATCGTTAACAAGAAAGAAAGCTAACTTTGGCCAGCCAAAGTTTGTTATACCCTTGCAGGTAACAATTAAAATATATTATAACTAAGCCAAAAATACATTAATTTGGATTCGGAAAGCAGTTTTGTGTTAGTTTTTATTAATTTAAAAAAACTTCATACCAATTTAAAATTTTAAGAAATCAAATTTTTTGGCCATTTTTGCAAATTTTAATGGCCAAAAAATCGATTTCTTCCGGACATGCCTAGAAAGATTCGCATGTTAATGCTGATTAAGAATATATATACTTTATAGGGTCGGAAACGTCTCTTTCACTGCGTTGCAAACAAAAAAACACTCCTTATTCCCTTATTCGGTAAGATGAAAGGGTATGATTTAAGAATTAGGGTAGGTATAAGTAGTGTGGCTCCATTCTAGACCCTCCAATTAGAGCTGAGCTCATTTCTGATCCAAATTATTAATAATAGTAATAAATTATATTTTATAAACAAAATAAATACATATATATATATTTTCAGCTTTAACAGTCCATATAGTCTGACAGTCCGTTTTTTAAACAAAAGGTCATTCAGTTTTGGAGCTATCTGGAAAAAACAGTTACTAAACTAAAAAATGATATATATTCTAATTTCATAATTTTTATCATCATATTTTATTCCATTTTGAGGAATTTCTGCTTTTATTTTATCTAAATCGGACTGCTAAATTATAAAGCTGCAATAGGAACTATTTCTTACTGTATTGAACAATGTAAATATAAACTGTAAACATAAACTATATAGGTAAAAGTAAATGAATTAATTAAACTTTTTTTAAGAAACTTAAAACATTTTATTTGTGTCAAAATTATATTAATATACTATATTACTGGCATAGAGAGTGATCGCCATGTTTATATAAATTTTTACGAAAATTGTAATATAAAAATATATAAACAATTTTTAAATTGTTAATTTATTAAAAATATTAATGAAATTTTAAATCTAAAAAACCAGGGCTTCTACTTACAACTATCGATAATTTCAAGTATCGGATACCGTTAAATAGGCTCGTTTTACAACACTGAAACTTAAGCTCGAAATTTGAATTATTCTCGTTACTTTTGTTTTTATTTAAATCTCTTTCCCCCTTAAAAAATTTAAAATCTCTAAGAGTTTGCCTTGTAATAGTTTGAATATTTATTTCATCAAATGCTTGCACATAAATATATTCATATATAGTTGATGTATGTATGTATAAGGGTATACAGTTGGGGTTAAATATATATGTGTTGTATAAATAGTGGTATTTTTTATTGTATTCAACACCTATAACTGCACGTAAAGAGCACATTCTGTTTTAACAATAGCCACTTAGGTACTTCTGCGGTTAACGGTCGAATGCAGTTCAAAACACACAAACAACATCTAAAAAAAATGCGTTACGATATTGGCCGAGAGTTTAATACATTTGTGTCTGTCCTGCATATATATTATTGCTATATACGCATTATATCGTGTGTAAATGTGTATATAGGAGGGTGGAGATCAGCATACCAATTTGTCACATTTTATAGTTTTCAAAGAACAGGCAACACAAGTCGAACAACATTGAAATAAAATGCATTTTCTAAGTATTCTCTTGTTTAACGATAAACGGTAAATTTCTAGTTATTGTCCTTAGGTTTTTGTTTGGATATTCGATTTCCTTTAAGATATATAAGTATTCGATTGGCTCCAATCAGCATCTCGCACTCTTAATTGACATCTGCCGCAGCTTCATCCTATGGAGGGCATCATCGTCTCGACGAACCACAAACAACTCAATTCAGTTCCCAGCCAGCTTTGTGATGAAAATAAAACTAAGTAAATGAAACGTGTTTCGTTTTGTTTTTGGTTTTTGGTGTGTAAAAAAACTCAAGTCTTTTTCTTTTTTTTTAGTGTGTAAACTAAACTAAAATCGCGAAAATAAAAATCACAAATTGCAAATCGGTAAAGAATATCGCTCTCTAGGCTAAGGACGATGCACGCACACAAAACTTGACATTAGCTGCTGCTGCTGCTGCTCTCCAGCTTAGGACGTCGCAATGACGCCGCCAGGACCTGGCAGCCCGCTAGGGCGACCGGTCAAATAGGAGTCCACCTGACGAGCGGCCTGACGACCCTCGGTGATGGCCCAGACGACCAGCGACTGGCCACGCCGGCAATCTGTGAATGGAGGAGTGATAAAGGGAGTGAGTAATGGGGATTTCTTATGGCTTATCCTGCGTTTAGGGAGATTTATAATAAAAAATATTTTTGGGGTCTGTGTTATAGACACTTCTTCAGACTTACCGCCCGCCGCAAACACCTTGGAGTTGGAGGTGCCATACTGTCCATTGCAGGCCTTCACATTGCCACGCGGATCCAGCTCCAGGCCCAGCTCCCCGGGCACCGTCTTCTCCGGCCCCAGGAAGCCCATGGCCAGCAGTATAAGGTCGGCGGGGAAGTACTTCTCAGAGCCGGCCACCTCCGCCATGCGCCACTGTCCCGTCTCCGTCTTGGTCCACTCCACCTCGACGGTGTTCACGCCCTTGATGGTGCCATTTTCGCCGACAAACTCCTTGGTGGTGGTGCAGTACTGGCGTGGATCCTTGCCCCACTTCAGCTTCACCTCCTCGTGGCCGTAGTCGACGCGGAAGACCTTCGGCCACTGCGGCCAGGGGTTGTCCTCGGCGCGCTTCTGCGGCGGCTCCGGAAGAATTTCGAATGTGGTGATGCTCTTGGCACCCTGACGGAGCGAGGTGGCAATGCAATCGCAACCGGTGTCACCGCCGCCAATAATGATCACATCCTTGCCCGCAGCCGAGATGATGTCCTGCTTGCCGCCCAGCTGCTTCTTTTGCTGCGCCTCCAGGAACTCCATGGCGAAGTGGATGCCCTTCAGGTCACGATTGGCCAGCGGCAGGTCGCGGGGCCAAGTGGAGCCCGTGGTCAGGAGGACGGCGTCGTACTCCTGCAGCAGCTGCTCGGCCTTCAGGTCCTTGCCCACATGGACATTGGTGCGGAACTCGATGCCCTCGTCGGCCATCAAGTCCACTCGCCGCTTGACCACCTCCTTGGAGAGCTTCATCGTGGGAATGCCGTACTGCAACAGTCCACCGACGCGATCGTTGCGCTCGAAGACGGTCACAAAGTGACCGGCGCGGTTCAGCTGCTGGGAGGCAGCCAGACCCGAAGGCCCGGAGCCCACAATGGCCACCCGCTTGCCGGTGCGCACCTCGGGAATCTCCGCCTTGATCCAGCCCTGCTCGAAGGCATGGTCGATGATGGCGCACTCGATGTTCTTGATCGTCACCGCCGGCTCCGAGATGCCCAGGACACAGGAGCCCTCGCAGGGAGCGGGACAGACGCGGCCGGTGAACTCCGGGAAGTTGTTGGTCTGCAGCAGCTGGCGCAGCGCCTCCTGCCACTCGCCGTGGAAGACGAGGTCGTTCCACTTGGGAATGATGTTGCCCAGCGGGCAGCCCGTGGAGTTGGACTGGCAGAAGGGAACGCCGCACTCCATGCAGCGAGCAGCCTGGACCTTTAGGTTCTTGCGCACATGCGGGAAGTTATAGACCTCGTCCCAGTCCTTTTGTCGCTCCCCGGCATCGCGGTAGGGCGCCGATTCCCTTTTGTACTTGACGAAGCCGCGGGTCTTGTCCAAAACGCGGTCGGCCCGCTTCTGCTCTAGGGCCACGTCCTGGATGGCCTCCTCGATGTCCTTAATGTGCGGCTCATGCTTGCCATTGCCATTCTCGATGGCGGCTGGCTTCAGAGGTTGCTCCGCCGCCTCCTGCTCGGCCATGTCCTGGAGGGCCTTCTGGTACTCGTACGGGAAGACCTTGACGAACTTGGCCTGTGCCTCGGCCCAGTTATCGAGTAGCTCCTTGGCCACCTTGGAGCCGGTCTTCTCAATGAAATCGCCCAGCAATTGCTTCACCAGCTGCACATCCTTGCCAATCTCCAGCGGCAGCAGCTCCACACTCTCCGGATTCACCTTGGGCTTGAAGGATCCGTCTATGTCGTACACATAGGCTATTCCACCGGACATTCCAGCGGCAAAGTTACGGCCAGTGAGACCCAGAATGACCACCAATCCTCCAGTCATGTACTCGCAGCCGTGGTCACCCACGCCCTCCACCACAGCCGTGACTCCAGAGTTGCGCACGCAGAAGCGCTCGGCGGCAATGCCGCGGAAGTAGGCGGTTCCCTCGGTGGCTCCATACAGGCAGACATTGCCCACGATCACGTTCAGGTGCGACTCGAAGGGAGCCGTGTCCGGCGGAGTGATGACCACGTTGCCACCGCACAGACCCTTGCCCACATAATCGTTGGCATCGCCCTTCAGAGTGACATTAACGCCGCGAGCCAAGAAGGCGCAGAAGCTCTGGCCGGCGGAGCCCTCCAGGAAGATGTCGATGCTCTTGCCAGCGGGCAGGCCAGCCTCGCCATATTTGCTGTAAGGACAAATAAGGATTATCTGTAAATAAAAACGATAAAATTTGAAACCCACCAAGCAATATGGTAGCTGAGAGTAGAACCGAAGGCTCGCTCCTCGTTGTGAATGCGCATCTTGACCGTGACATTGTCGTCGGCGCCACTGAAGATCTGCTGGGCCTTGGCAATCAGTTGGTTGTCCGCACGCTTCTCCAGCTGGAAGTCCTGCTTTACCGAGCCACCCACTATGTTGGTGCCAGGACGTAGTTCCAAT